CAGTCACAAGTCAGAAATAAACACATCACAGTCAGAAATAAACACAAATTGCAATTTAAAATTCAGAAAGCAATTTATTCCTGACAAAAACAATGTTAAATCAAAAGAGGATTTCCATTTCATTTTGAAAATACATCTGAAATATGAAATTGTACACAGGAATATTGCAAGTCATTGTTGAGCTTGCATGAACTGTTATCATGGTATTTTGCTCTCTAAGAATGGTCGTCATGTGAACATGCATCAAATCCCTAGAAATCGAGAAACAGTTCTGAAAGAAGATACTACAAGACATCTAGCAATATGAGAAGATAAGAGAGGGAAAGTAGTTTTGAAAATAAGAGAAAAGACACAATGCACTGTCTATAGCGAAATTGTCGTCATGTTCCCATGGCGACCAAATGATGAATAGAACTAAGTAGTATAAGCCACCCGAACAAATAATATATGTGAAAAAAATATTTTTTTTTTGATACAGTAAAAATGAACGCAAGGAACTACATCTACTAAACACTGTACACAAAATGATTGGCTAAATGTTTGTCAATACCCAGAAAACTTGTCTTCTTTTTCAGACAAGCACTACTACAAATTATTCATCACAACTCAATAATGTCATCCAATCAGAATCAGTGAATATGACAGATATTATTGGCTGGTATAAAAGGTCAGTTGTGTTGGCATGGAGACTGTTAGGTAAATCGGTAATTATTGCCACGATAGGAGGTTTACATTTATCTTCCAGATTAATAACTCAGTTTAAATTATACTTTTCATTGCACATTCGTTGCTGTATACTTTCGTCCCGAAACAAAACTTTCAATGTTCTATCTATTTGCCTAATGGTCAAGTTCAGTTTTTATAAATCTATCGTTGTTAAACAAAGAAAAATCAAGTTTTGTTTCAACTTAATTTCGGTAAGAAAATATACGGTAGCGAAATAGGCCACAGGCTCTACATACGACAGGATACTAGTTATATGTCGGCAGTGTCATGATGTGTTTGACCCAATCTGTGAAAGCAAAAAAAAACAGGAAGTTAGTAACTGAAATACATAGTGTAGATGTTTACTGATACACCATCATAGTTCACAAGACTGATGGGCTTGAGCTGGTGCCCTTTATGCTTATTTCATTGGAATTATTTTGTTTTGACCAATTTCAGAGATTTTTGGAGTGCATTTTCTTTCTCAATATTTGGGCAAATTTCAGTGAAATTTAACCGTTTTAGCTTACAGTAACCTGCTAGAAAAAGATTGTTTTTATCCTCAGATTCCATGAATGAAGTCCATAAGATTTTAAGTACTGAGATACCATAATTGAAAAGTTAATGAGAGTACATGGGAAAATATATCACTATGGAAACAAATCTAGAAAGGTGTATTGAGGGAGGAGAGAAGTAAGTTCAGGGCTGTATACAATTGCTGTAATATTGATGATGATATCATCTTTTATGGCAGATTTGTTTTTTTTTCAGCTTTTAACTCGAAACGGCAGTGCCTGGAATTTTTGTACAAATTTGTGAACAATGATGATGAAGAGTAAGTGTATCTTTGAGTTTGCTGAAGATTAAGTATTAATACGTAAAATGAAATATGTAAATCTATTATTAACCATTTGAACATCATATTTGTTTTCACCAAAATGCAACATTTTGCACATTTTTCTATTTTTTTCTCTTAATCTTGGTCAATTTTTGATAAAAAATACAGAATTTTCCTTTAGCTGCAAGTATTGATCAAAATTTTAAAAAAAAATATGGAAAAAATTATGCATTTTTTTGTGTGAAAGTTATCAGAAGTGTTCAAAGGGTTAAAAAAACAGCAGAACTGAAAGAAAAGAAATAATAATAAAAATAGATGATGGTAAATTAGTAATAGTACCAACTTTTCAGTTGAAGAAGGTCCCCAATGAATCTGTGTAAAAGATGTCAGTTTTTGAAAGTTGAAAATAATAAATTTTGTGAATAATGTAAACACTGGTATTCCTTTCCAATTCATCCACCATATTTGTATGTGAATTGACCATGTGACCTGAATTTGACCAAGCTAATTTGCATAACACAAACTGTTATGCAAATGAGGTCAAATATTATGTTATGTAAATGAGGTCAAACCACACATTCCAAATATGGTAAGAGAATTTGCAAAGGAAATTATTACAAAGAAAACATCTCTGAATGAGTCAAAGACGAAGATTATTTTGATATATTAGGACACTCTATGGAATATTCACTGGGAAATTTATCTTAACTTTTTTTTTCCTTAAATCAAAATTATCGAAACAAATAAATTTCCCAGGAAAGCGTACAGCAGTTAGAACTGAATAAATAAAAAGTTAGACATGCCCGATTTGTTTGAAAAAAATAATCAGTATTTTTAAAAAAAATCATAAGGATTAAAAACAAAATATTAATTTTTTGGAATTTTTTAGGCCACCTTCTATACATTAACTTCCTCGATTTTGCTAACATGCTTCACAAACTCTGTAAAAAAATAGGAAACAAATGCATGGACAAAATTATTATATTGCAGTAAACAAGACTTTTAAACAACATATACCGTTAAAATCTTATTATTAACCACATCTTTAACCACATTCAGGAAATGAACATTGTAGCATCAGCGGTTACTGCCAAAATTTCATTTTTATAAAGATTGCAGTACAAACTAAGTTAATAATATGATTTCACTGGCAGTGTTTGTTCGTACATCCGATGGCACATTTGAATTCAAATTATTGTTATGATTATGATTATGAATTTTGTGTTATATACCGGTAAATTTAAATGAGGTAATAGTTTTAATAAAAGAAGTGCAGTATATGTAAAATTGTTGGTTCCAGTAGCAGCTGAATATTGGTACATTTAGTGATATAATTGCGCAGTAATTCAACTTGATTCTGCAATTTAATTTCAAATACCACATTCGCCATGCAGCGTACGTTCAAGTTTGATGAAAACAAGTGTACAATAACTTTGTATACATTACACTCATATTAAACACAATGCGACACGACAAGTGTGCAGATTATACCAAAGACTTTTTGCTAATGTAGATTATCATCACTTTATTTTTACTTGGAACTCATTTTCTGTGTTACAAACGTAAACTTAACTGTGAAAATTTGTGTTTCATGAGACAATTTTTGCTGCAAGTCAGGAATTATCAGTGAGTTTTAATGCAGGCTAACTATTAGAAACTCAGTGGAAATGAAGATTATGTTGCTGTCAATTTTGTTTTTGCTTTTCTCTTATCAAGCGTCTAAACATGATGTTTTTCAGTCATTTTTCCTAGGTTTTATTTTATTTTTCAGTGCAGATTATTTATTTAAATTCAATCATCTCCAATCTTAGTTTCTAACGGTCCACCCCTTAACCAGAATTGGAAATTTGACCTTGCAAACTGCAGCAAATGTTGACAATAAAAATAATTCAATCTACAGTAGGAAAGAGATTTTTTGGGTTAAATCAATTTCATATGATTTTTTCTCATATGATTTTTCTTCCTAAACATCAAATAATTTAGACTTAAAACCAGAAAACAGGAAATCTATTTTTCCCCCAACAATGGTATTATTCAGAAAATTAGTTTACAAATAGCCCCAACCATAGACCTTATTTTAACACTTACACCACCATCTAAAAATATCAGATATCAAATTTGCACTAAAATAGTTGGCAAAACAGATAAAGACAGCAAATATAATTAATATTTTAAGGATTTATGAGATAAGGTTTCACAACTTATATAAATATGGTAGTATGAAAAGAAGATTTTGCATCAATCAACAATATTTCAAACCAGTAGCATCACAGAACAAAGCAAACGCTTTGAAAATGTTGATTGCTTACACAGAAATGAACGAGATAACTGGGATAGTATTTGAAAATGCAAAAAACACATGTAACACATGATATGCAAATGCACAAGGGTACTAGAATAAACAGATCAAGACAAAAACTAAAAACAAAAATAGACTGGCATTTGCATATGTATTCTTGGAATGAACATTTGTCTTGGAATTTGTGATTATCTCAAATTTTTTACATGATTTTTTATATATACTGGTAACACCAGTTGCATATTACGGTATTATCTTATAAGTCTTTGATAAAACCTTTGAAAGTTCTTTATATAACAAAATTTATATTTTGGTATTATGAACAACAAAAGATCAAAAGATATTCTGAGATGGTGATAATAAGGTCAGAGTTGACACTGATGAAAAAAAAGAGACATGATAGAGAAATAAATTCAATTCAAACATGACAAATGTGCAAATGTGCAACATGCAAAAGACTGTGAAAAATCACTTGATTTGGTTATAGCATTGTTTTTTTTAAAAAAAGGAATCAGATGTTGTGTTTTAGTTATGTACACTTTACAGAAGCTGCCATCAATACAAATTGACAGCAATTTGGTCTCTTTTTTGTATATTTAGCCCACAAAAAAACAGAAGAAATCAAGTTTCTACACAATTATGGTCTCAAAACTAATGCACATTAATTTTTTTTTTAATTGTCATTAATATTGTTATTAAAATTGCTTTCGATTTTTTCATGATAATGTATTTCCATTATTTTTGTCTTTCTATAATTCTGATAAAAAAGCCAAACAAATACTGCTTATGACACTAATTTTCATTCGACCAAAAAAATGAATATTTTTTTCCCCTCAAATTTGTTGTATATGTATAATAAAGTTACAAGAATTTCCAGAATAGTTTCAACTTCGATATTAAACAATAAATAATTGTCAGTTTGTAAAATACAAACCTTATTTTCCCCTGATTTGACCTCTAGTTATTTACATAACACATAAACCTATCATTTATCCGGCCTGACAAACAGACTAACCAACAAGCTTCAATAAAAAATACTACTACTACAGTAACCCATGTCAGCCGTACCAAACTATAATGACTTCAAATCTCCTAAATAAGGCAAAGTTTATAAACCACAGCATCTCCTTCACGAAAGGTATAACCAGTATATTTTAGATAAAATACCAAAACTTGAACATTTCTGAGTTTGTTGTATTTTTTACTACACAATGAACAATTTCTTTTGACAATCTTGAAACTTTTGTTGCACACTGCAAAAACCTTGCTTCCCAGCAAACAAGCAAACTATACCAAATTCAATATTTTTTTCTTGAAAATGTATTAAACAACCAGAAAGATAACATATTTGGTCTTTTTAAATAAACTAATGTTTTAATGCACTCAAAATTGATTACTAGAAAGTACAAAGTGTCAGAGTCGTCACATAGAACCAATATCGGACATGACGTGTTGTGACGATTCTGTCGCTTTTATTTATTAAAGAAGAGAAGAGTTGATAGACTGATCAAAATATAGCGATCAGAATAAAAATAAACGTTCTAGAAAAAAAATGTCATTATTTAAAATAATACACTATGGAGAAATATTTTAGAACATGCGGAGATAAAAAATGGGACTGTGGTCTGTTGCTGAATGGCCAATGGTTTAATATCAGCAGTAATTACCCCTACAATAAAAAAAATTCAGTAAACCACCAAGAAAATCTTGAGGCACAAGCCATGTATACCACACCAATTTAAAATTGTCTAAAAAGTTAATTTGCACTCTGTGATCATTTAAAATGTTCAACTGGGTTCCTGTTACTGTTATGTAATTTTTTTTGATGGTCTGAACTTGCAGAATTGCAGAAATATTATTATCAGTTTCCCATTTTATTGTTTGTTCAAATTTCATTTTAACAATTCTCAGTTCCAAATCTCACAAATTTCAAATATTCATACTATAAAGTATGTTACAATCTAAGAATAAATCCAGAACTCCAATAAATATTCATGAATATTCAGAGTATAACTTTAATTCTGAATGTTCATACTAATCCAAATTACAAATAATTCATAAATCATTCTTTGTGACCGGCTTTTTGAAATTCTGAAAGAAAAACGTGGTGTAACCAAACTAGGTGTTATGAATCTTATTTGTATGCAATTTGGCCTGTTTCCAATCCAAAATGGCCACCAAATTAGGACTTAACGCTATTGGAAAATCACAAAGTTATTGTTTCCAAGGAAACAAGTTCAAATACCCCTATTTTTATTTGCATGTTGTCATTCATTTAATGAAATTTTTCATGCATAAAAATATCAAGAATTTATAGTGCTTTAAAATTTTCCACTTTCCATCGTGTCCATCCATAAGTTTCAGAGAAGTTGATGATACTCTTCATATTAAACACATATCAACTTCTACAAGGCACACACATCCAGCAAAGAGGACAGGTTTCAATGTGATCATATATGAACAAGTTCTTATTTACCCTGCCTTATATGCCAAATAAGAAAATATAAAGTATTCATAAAATGGTTAAGGGAAGATTAATATTAAAAGCAAATGACCACAATCCCTATTAGCTCATCATCAGTAGGAATTTTATTATTCCTGTTTAAAAAAGAACACTCAAATTTGATTTTGTAAAAAAAAATTAAATTGCCATAAGAAATTTAACTTTTTTTTTTCATATTCCACCTTTCACAGATCAATCGGCTCAATTTTATTAATAAACTTCACAAAGTCTGAAACAAAAGTAAGATCAGAATATGGAATACACAATATCAATTTGGTTACCATATGCATCATTACACCATAGTTACAAAATATATATCACCTTGGTTACCATAGCATTTATCATCATGGTTACTAAATATATACATTTGGTATATATCACCATGGTAACAAAATATACAATATAACCATAAAATATTGATTTCATTGATACATTGTTGAATTGTACAATATTTTCAATATGCTAATTTACATTTTTCCAAATATGGTACAGTTTTTCCTTATTTAGACCAGTACAGTACAATATCTTGTTAACTTAAAAACTATTTTTAAATCTTTTTGTGGCAGTATGGTAATTATTTTGTATACAAGGAAAGCAGGACTGTAGCAGGCATCCCCACTGTCAAAGAATATGTGGAACACAGGTAAAGGTAAATATTATACATTCAATGAGCAAACACATATAGATGATATATTGAAATAAATAAACTTTAAATGACATAACTTTTCAGCTAAACCTATGCTAAGACATGCTAAAAATAAGCAGCCTGTGGTAGTGTATGTACATTACCCTGGGACAGTAAAGTCACTGATTGTAGATTTAGAGTTTAACGAGAACATAAAAACAAAAACATGGATATAATTGGCATACCTTCATAATTGACATTGCCATCTCCGTCCTCAAAGCCAACCAATACTGCTTCAATCTCATCATCACTCATTCTTTCACCTGAGGAAAGAAAGGAAATTTGAGACAGGAATTCACCATGGCAACTGATTAGAAATCACCTTGTTATAGTAATGGGGAATTCAGCTCTTACTGAAACCCCTGTTTAATATCTGAATTGAGCAAGTTCCTCTTTCTAGTAATATCCTTTTATTTTTCAATGGTTTATCCCTTAGTTAAGAAAATGTTGATTTACCAAGTGTGCCCATCACATGTCTCAACTCAGCGCCACTGATAAGGCCATTTCCTTCTTTGTCAAAAACTTTTAAACCTTCCATGTAATCTTCAAACTCTCCTTGGTCTTTGCATTTTACACTTGACTGGTACATGGGAAGGAATTCTTCAAATGAGAAACGGTGATCTGGAAAACAAACAGAAATTATGAACTTAGAAATATAGTATTATAAATTGAAATAGCCAAATATGATAACATGAATAATTGAAATAGCTAACTATGGTAACATGATTAATTAACATAGCTAAATATGGTAACATGAATAATTAATATAGCTAAATATGGTAACATGAATAATTAACATAACCAAATATGGTAACATGAATAATTAATGTAGCTAAATATGGTAACATGAATAATTAACATAACCAAATATGGTAACATGAATAATTATCATAACCAAATATGGTAACATGAATAATTAATATAGCTAAATATGGTAACATGAATAATTAACATAACCAAATATGGTAACATGAATAATTATCATAGCCAAATATGATAACATGAATAATTGGTAAGACCAAATTTGGAAACATAAATTATTCATACTATCATAATTAATAAAACCAAAATAAGATGTAAATAATCACATACCAGCTCCCTTTCCTTCAGTGAGCTTCTTTACTTCTGCAATTGTTGGATTTAAATTCATGGACCTCAAAATATCCCCGATTTGACTGCAAGCAGCTTTATTATCTCCCTTTCGGTCAAACAGGGAAAATGTGTCCTTGGCCTCTGTGGTTAAAATAAATTATAAAACATTATGACAAGCCAACTCATTTAGGTACTTTCAATGCAACAAAGGTATTCCGTTCATAGTTATACATATTCAAAGATACCCAATATCACAATTCAAATGGTAGCATTCACTTTTAATTGAATTATATTAAAAGTTTTTCTAATGACTTTGTTAGACACTGTGTTCGTTGATTGGCTGGTTGAATTCAACTGTTAATGAAACTATTCATGCACTAGAGTATTATAAAAATTTGTAAAATATCTTAAAAATCATTTATCTCAGGATTACCACGACATTTCTGTCAAATCCATAGAGGACATACTAATTAGATATAGAAGGCATTTGGTAAATGAGTTTTCGCAAGTTTAATCGGTAGAAATTTAGTGTCAGGCATGCTAAGGACATTCTATATGGGTGGTTTACTGTCACTGAAGCATAATGATTGCCGAGATATTTTCAATCATCAATCGAAAGCTAGAAAACATTTATGAATATTTTATATAAAAATCAATTTAAAATTTATAGTTCTCTTGTTTGTAATATTGAAATATGAAATTTATATTTCTGTCATGAAATATGCACATGTAAACGGACAAACAGACTGAATGAAGGGCCAATGATATATACCGTAAAATCTGTATTAGAAACCGCATCCCTAATAGAAGTCGCACCCATTCTTTTTGAACAATTGAGAACCAAAAAATTCATCATTTCTCATATGTGTAGATGCTCTAATAGAAGCTGCATCCCCTCTGTTGCATTGTACCATTTTAATAGACGCCACAGCTTCTAATACAGATTTTACAGTAGCAGCCAAGCATTTGAAGTACTCAAAAAAAGTGTCATCACATGTTTTCAAGATTTTAAAAATGAATTCCATAGAGTAGTCCACGCCCCAAAATCATGTCACATGACTTCAACAGTTAGAGTAAGTTTTAAGAAAGCAAACTTTCTTTAACTAGTGTGTAGTATGCCCTTCAAAAATCTATGTACTTCAGAACTGAAGCCCATTCCATTTCCTGTAGCCGCAATGCAGTGTGGGTAAGAAAGATGCCACTACGGGTCACGGCTGTACGTCACCAGCTGATGCAAATAAATTACACGAATTTTTCCCCACAACAAATTATTATACATCTCTTATATTTATTTTAATGATGGATCGTCAAAATTATGATTAAAAAAATTGTTCTAACGTTCAAGTAATTTCAGTTCAAGTTCAGGAACGACAGACAATGAACTAGCTAAATATATGAACCTAAAGTACCAAAGAAGAGCATGTACATATTTGGGCATACGAAATGAGAGAAGATATCTAGCAACCAGACTCCCTAACTCTGCCCCAGTTATCATCTTATGGCATCTCAAAAATTAAATACCGACCAATCACGGCACGCGCAACAGACAGATATAGCACTATAAAATGGAGGTGGTTCGCTATTCTCCCCTCAGATTTTAAAACACGAAGCGATATTTAAAAAGGACGGATTAAAACGGAAAGGAAGTACTCAAATCTTAAAACTCTTAAAGTAAACAAATGCAAACACAACCCCATCGAAAAACGATCGTTAAAAGCACGCAGAGTAAATACTCGGGAGGACCGGCACCCCGATTCATCATGGACGCCCCCATAAACTAACAGAGGTTCTTCAGATATAAACAAATTGAAAATGGTTACTGATATTATCTTTAAAATTGGGATATATTACAGCAGAAAACTAATGGTGACATAGAACCATTAATATTTTTTCACGACTTTTTATCAAATAAGTCGCGGAGAAATATCTAGCATCTATAAGCAATTCTTGGTTAACTGGGTGATGAGAAATACCCCTGGCCCCATTGCGGAAAACTATTCTTGTACTGGGACCTGTAATAACGCATACTTGTATGTGTGGGTCTTGACAACTACTAGTATATTTTACCTTTTTACCCATTGTTGATACAGTTAGAAGTGAAAGAATCGGCAAGTCTCTGATGAAACCACCCGGGACATTATTCCTTTCGAACAATCCATACAAACAAAACTGTCTGAGCTCCTATGAATCCATACTCTGAATAGTTCCAACCTACCCTGGATGGTATATACAACTTATTTTCAATGATGCACATCGTCGTGTCTCATTGTTGAAGCATGAGAGACGTTTTAAGTAAAGACGAAATTAAAGCGTGACATACTTCACTAACATTCACTTGTACAACTTGTATATCAAGTTTCACCTCAACTGTCTTCCCTAGAAGTGATGTTACGGTGAATGTCTATCGACATTGGTAGTTTTTATCAAATAATTTCTTCTGGGAGGTGCGGTAACAGTGACAGACTCCGCGGCCTTAAACGCAACTTTAAGTTAAAACTTATAATATTCTTGCGCGATGTTAACATACAAGTAATTCGGACAAATGGTATAGATACCACTGAACAAGGTCGGTTGAACACTTACCTTCAATTTCTTCGTTTGAGAGAGACTGTGAAAAGAGAAATGAAAACAAAATTAAACACCTTTTTTAGTATTGCGATGAATCACGAAAGTGTAGTTTTTGCATGTTTTAAAATTCGACGGTGCTTCAGTGCCATACAGATAATTTCTTACCATGTTGGCTTCTGTCAGTGTTCTTGGTAGCTGCTTCTTGATCTGGCTGGCTCTGAGGAGTGAGAGTGCGCGTGGAATGCTGGGTGGTATGAGTTAAATGAATGCCTTGGTATGGCAACTATTTGTCAATCAAACACAGCCTCGCTCTCAGGTCGGCTCGTTTCCTTTTTAGGTCGCTGCATGGGGGAGGCGCTTACATGTTCCCATCCCTCTTGTGCCTAGTACATGCATCTGTTTGCATCGACCAGAGGTGAAAAACTTCAACGGACGGTCACAGTCGTCAATGTACTATAATGGAAGTCAAGTTGAATTTTATTTATGTATATTAAAGGACTCAATATTGTATATGAACTAAGACACTGTTCTAAATATTAATCCACTCGGGAATAACAGCCTTGAAGATTTTAATTATTCGTATTTTAATTATTCGTGTTTTATGTACTTGTTGTCAGTGCATAGGGTGTGTGTGTTGTGACGTCACTATTATCGACGTGGTGTACAAGTATGTTTGCATATATTATTTCTAAACAGCTGTAAGTATATCTTATCTATATCTGAGATTGAGGATACAATATTAATTAATAAATAAATTACCATATTCAAAACGTCTCCTATTTTGTTTTTGTTCTCTTCTCTTAGATGACCAGTCTCAGCATGGTATTATCTCAGATAGTCATATACAATAACAACTTGTTTATTTTCTATTCATGTATGAAAATGTGAAATCAACGCGAAATTCCATCCTCGGGTGACATGGTAAATAAACAGCCAGCACTTGAGATGAAATGCAACCAGTCTTCAACTTATTTAATACTTCCTGGCTGAAACCCGAATTGGTGCGAGGGCTTGATGGGGACGAGTGTCGTAACCTTTCGTTAATCATTGACAAAATCATACAGTTTACGGCGGATCTTGCTTGTATTTTGTTTAGCTATTGATATTATGGATCGTTGCTGGGTCGCATCTCAATAATTGACATTGCATATTCGATGTATCCATCCTAGACCTCGTAGTTACAACAGTGCATGTGATTATAGAACTTTTTAGCTCTACGTAGTGATCATGTAAATAATGAAACAAATCCAGAAACACGTGTACACATGCATAAACAGAATCAGTTGAACGTGATTGGCCAGTACATTCTCCAGCGTGTCGTGCGTTGTTCGCGTATTGAACTCAACTCATGCCTGCGGTTCTCGTGTCATTCAATATCTGAACGAGTGTACTCCATTTGTGACATTATACTTAGTTGTCTTAGCTCGTCCCGCCCACAGAACTTTGACGATGTTAATAAATACCCCGTTATTATACTTATTATATTAATACTGATAAAACAGATATTTTGTCATTGTTTCAGTTAAGGAAACACGGAAAGGAAGTCAAACATAAAGCACCTGGGAAATTGATGGCGTAATGCGAAGTTTATACATGTGTTACATGTGATAGATGAATATACCTTGGCCATATCAGAATGACTTCCCATCGATTTTGATGATTTTCTGCCGTATTTACATTCATAGCTGTTTCCAATCACCAAACTGCGATTTTTTAGATTAAAATGCCACCCTACCCAAATATGGATAAAAAACAACCGAGGTGTTATTATATTTCTATAGGCTAAAACATGTACGACATTAATCATCATAGAACACTCAAGAAACTGACAAATAAAACATAGTATAAGTTTATTTTTACTTACATAAGTGCCACTCTTTCAAATATGGGCCAAGAAAATGTATTCAATTAATTAACCATTGAATTACGCCGCAAAAATAATAATAATAATAAAAAAAAAATTTCGGCAAGTTTCGTAAAACATTGCAAAAGATTTCGTAATGGCAATTTAGGTATCCCAGGCAGATTTCCATACGACATATACCAGAAAAATGGTTCGAATGATGTGAAAATGGAATGTTAGTACATGCGTTGTGTACGACATCATAGGCTCCAGTCAGAAACACTTTATGTTGTTTCAAACGGAAATTGTTTAATAATAATTCATATAAATTATTGTATTTAAACATAAATATATTGTACCAGTTTTTAAAACTTTTTCTTGGAAATGAACATTCCCAAATATACTGTTACTTTCCTCGACATATGGACTCAGATTTAACTAGCTGGCAATTCATAACCGCGATCGTGACAATTCAATCCTACATTTAATTTATTAAGCACTTGAACACTGTGGGATGAGGTCATTCAAACTTCAATTTGCAATAATGATCATTAAGTAGACACTTCTAAGATTCAAAATAGCGAAATTGCGGCAGTACCATTTTGTATACTGTATATTTTTCGAATTTTGTATTTTGACGGACGAATTTATTCTGACGAATTTAATCTAAGTTAGCACAAGACACTAGATACTAGAACTGATCACACAGGCACGTCTTTTTGTTAGTACACAGTCTCGTTCGCACTTACGACCATATTTGTTCCTAAAATATGTGTTATCACTCATGGCTGTTTTAAATCAATTTGCAATGGTCTATAAAACTGTGACATTTTCAAAACTTTACTTCACTGTCTGCAAACATAAGCAATCTTACAATCGTTTAATTTATAACAATTCTGACTCCATCTGGAAAATTCAAATACACAACCGATTTCATAATGTTTCATATGTGGACATATACTTATTCAAACTCGGACTCTAAACTCGAATGTAGAAACCAGCAATAATCGTAGCAATGTACCAACGCGTATGTAATGATTCCAAATTGAGTCGACAAAGAAAAATGCTTTGAATGCCATTATCTGTGTGTTCTTTCTCTCTCCGGTAGGTAGAGAACACTACAATTTGCAACACACCTTATATATAGCTGCACCCTCTAGTGACGAAGCACATTTGTGACGTCATCATGACGTAGATGGCGTAAGCAATCTCGCTAAATATACATCAATGTTTGACTGTGTAGTTCGTCATTTAGAAAGTATTTTTTTATTGACGGATGATCCTAGATCAAAACAAAATTGCTTATATGAACGTAATCGTTACACCCATTTACGTCACAGAATCCCTTCGTCGCTAGGAAACGCGATGTAAACGAACGGTGTATCAAGAACGCATTAGCCAAATCCTCGGGCTGGGCAAAACCAAAATACAACCAAGAACACGACGTCCTTATCAGCTCAGTTTTTATTTTCAAAAGTAAATAGAGAAAAAATAGAGAAACCATTCGTCCCAACTTTTCTAAGTTGTTGTAAAATAAACATTTTCAAGCTTGTAGATCGGTGTACTCTTCGAGCCATCTCACATGCAGAAACAATGAATAATCTAATGTAGACCTCGAGGTCAGAGGTCAATTTGAAGTCTGTCAAATTTAAAACTATGTGTACAAAATTGCAAGGTTGTAAATCAGTACTTGAATATTTAAGTGGTCACGACCAAAAACAAAAATGTTTCCATAATCGGGATAAGCTGGTAATTTTCTTACTGTTATGCTATGTTTTTAATAACATCACTAAATTAAATTATCTGTTTTCAGGGAATCGCATAAATATAAATTATACACAGATATCCATTTTATAAACTATATATAGACATTTTTAGCACGTATTTTGAAATAAGTCAACCATGGCGCGCAAATGACCACAATTCATTTACAAACCTGATGCAAATGGTCGATGAGTGGGGATATAAGTGTTACGTACTAGTTATGTCGTTGCTGATAGCCCTCTCATCGGGGTTTAAACTCGGCCATTTCCGGGTTAATGGCGCAAATGAACACAACAATTGCATGTGATTATATGTTAATTTATAACGTGATTCAGAAAGCGTATCATTAAGTTGGTTGTGAACTACTGTAATTACCATATCACCACGTGCTGTTATCAGAGCCTGTACACTCAAATGCGGTAAGTATGCTATCCCGGCACAGCATGTAGCGAGTCTCAGCGCGAACACAGTAGTATCACGGTATCATCATGCCACCATACGCAGCGAGTTTGTCATTGCGAAGCGGCCTTGCAGCTGCTGCTAGCACCTGGTGATTTGACGAAGCCCGGCCCCACACTAGTGTAGTTATCCGAGCTATGCGACCTTCACAAGAAATGTCGGACAGATTGGTGACGTAGAACTGCGATGGCCGTGATCGAAATGTGTAATAAGGCGTTCAACATTCTACTTTTTGGAGGGATGGTATACAAAATTTTAGTACTTAATCTGCATACATAAAAAAATAAAAAATAAAGGGAAAATTACAGAAAACAAATATATTTAATAAAAAGCAAAGAAAGCAAAAACAAATCAAACAAAACTTACAACAGCATCGTCCTAAAATCTAACTAAAAAATGAGGAAACGATTAATTTTCAAAGTTTTTTCTCCCAGAGTTTCCAATGGCCAACCCCTCGTATCGTAACATGCGCTCAACGATGGTATATACAAATCGTCTGCATCGTGACATAATTTCGTTTGCTTATTTTTAAATATTTGTCTTTAAAAAAAACTTCCAGTCTAATAGTGTTTGAGATAAGCTGTTCATTTCTTTTGTGGACTAAAGAAGAAGTTATTAATCAACCGAGGTATTTTTCTCAATCTTTTGAAGCGCTTGACTGTGCATCGTATGATATTGCGCCCTCACCCAAACAGCGTCTGGTTTTTAATAAACATTTGTTTCGTCTGAGAAGTGTGCACCACGTAGTGACCGAATTTGACAATCAAAAGATACAAAGGTTTGCTCAGTTTGTTTAATATTGATTATACATTACACTATCTATGAACTCCGTATTTTGCTACAAAATAAAATTGCATAATTTTTTCCACGTTTTTTGCAGAAATTTGGTCAAATTAGAAATCTCATCAAAAAGTCCGGAGTGCAACGATGTTTAAAAAAAAAATGGCCTAAATAAATTTTGCATACAGCCGGTTTGGCGTTCGGCGGATTAATCAGTGGTCAGTTTCTTCAGTCGGGATGGGTCGGTGATTTTATTTTTCGCGTCGCAAAAATATGTTTGCGATGATTTCAGAAGTATGAAATTGCTCGAACTTAGTATATAGGCTGTGGGTATTGAATATTATCTAAATAATATCACAAATTAAATCTGTAAATCTTATTTATTTATTTATTTTATTTTTTTATTTTTATTTATTTATTTATTTTTTTTATTTATTTATTTATTTATTTATTTATTTATTTATTTATTTATTTATTTATTTATTTATTTATTTATTTATTTATTTATTTATTTATTTATTTATTTATTTATTTATTTATTTATTTATTTATTTATTTATTTAGTTATTTATTTAGTTATTTATTTACGAACTTATTTAATATACAACTAAGCGAAAGTTGACAATTTTGAAATAAGCATGGTTTAGCTAGAACTGGTACGTTTACGTATTATTAGATTGCCGTGATGAAGTTTACTACACATGATAGGATGATTTGATTGGCACGGTTCCTGTGTCACGGAACAGAAAACTGCCACTTCAGTCGAGTCTTGCAAAAACTTTCTTCTTTTCAACTTGTGTATTTATGGCGAAGGAAATGACGTCACAGAAAGTGGGCAGCAGTATGCGATGACGTCATCAGCGATGCCGGTGGATGGAATACGGCATCTCTGTGATAATCATTTTTATTTCTTTTCACTATTACTGGCTGAATTTTAATTGTGATCACAGATTTTCCAAGCATTACGTATCGTGTCTTTTTTAATTCGGTGCTATGACAGTCTTGAAAGATTTTATTCCGTAATCGTCGGGCTATCGGAGCGTGATTTTGACGGAAATCGGAGGCTGAGCATGCTGATTACTGCAGTAGTGTAGGTAAGATAGCCATCATGTATCTTTTCCTTTCATTTCACTCGGCGAGTTGTCAGCTTTCACAGCCAATAGTTTTGTTCATTCTTCGCGGCACCGTGCTCAAACCCCCTCACTCACACGTTAGGGAGGTTGTCAGATCAACGGGGG